TAAAGCTTAGGCCTTTTAAAATCTGAGGAGCATTTCTTTACGTGGATTTTATGTTGACGGGCAAAAAATAAAGACTGTTTAATACCAAGTAACCTTGCGTGGCTGATAGACTCTAAACCAGTGATAAGATTTAATGACTGCATAAAAATCCGCAGTCTACATGTTCGAAAGTGATTACGAGTTATAGTCATACCGTATTGGTCTATACGCGCGCGTAGCTTGGTTCACACTATATAGGGCAATCGAACTTAACAAAATGTATTATCTAATGACCATGGATACGCGTATGTCCCACAAACACGTCCGTTTACACTACTTTTGGCAATATCCATGGGTCAGGGCTAAGTGGAGAGGTTCTTTTTGATGTGTTGTTGCAAACGCAAAACGTCTAAACTAAATGTAAAACAAAGCTTTAGCCTTAAATTTTACGTTATCACAAGTGATTACGAAAAAATTAAGAACGGAGCTCGGTTATTAAAAAAACACAGAAAGGCGAATTGTCCCACGGGCTTTAAATTTATAAAGTAAACTTGTAAAAGTATTAATATAACATTATAGGCCTAGCCATAAGTTATACTTCCCTATTGTGGAGTTCTGTAACAGACGCAAATGTGGACTTTTCAACACACTACTGGGAGTAGGCTACATCCTAATGCGTTTCTCCGCAGTACATTTGTTATTCAAAGATAAGTAGTACTGTAATGTGATTCCAAAAGAACACAGTAACACATCGCAAACAATTTAAGTTAGTAACTAACTCCCCGGGAGCTTCATCAACGAAACACGGTAGTCAAAGTTTGTATACCTGACATGAGTAGCTAAAGTTATAACCATAACAGTGCTACTAAGTAATGACTGGTTCCCTAGTGCGAGATGCGTGCGCGTGGTAGGCGTCTGACGTATTACTGACCACATACCGATAACTGTTTAATTTCCAAGTGGTATATGTTTAATTTGTTCTTAATCAAAAGTGATATTTTTCAATATGTTATTCTACAAACGGTCACGGCCATCGGGAAATCTTTTTTGACGCATGCGCTTGTACTCGATTGATATCAGAATGTGTCATGCATTAAGATGTATCATGGAGGAAAAAAATAACCTCCATGGGTGTATTAATCATAAGGTCTAGGCCTATAACAGTGTAGTTAGTAGGCCTAAAGATAGTAGTAGTGTGTTACTGTAGTAGAGTATAGTACTATCATCAGACTTAAATTTCAATGTAGGGCTAATTTTCTTTCATTTTTTCATGTTCTTTTTTAATTAAAAAATTGTAAATGGAAAACAAGCCGGATGCCCTGCCAGTCCCTTGGAATTCTCGTTACCTACGTTAAACTGGTAGAAGTAGAGTTGGAGAATACAAAAAAGATAACGAGTTAACAGTATGGAGAGCGATAATGAACAGACTTATAGAAGAATATAAAAAAATACCAATAGAAATTGTAGAAAAGGGGTGATAGCAGTTAAAATGACAACAAAAACATTTAGAAAATGTACTGAAAGCATAAGCCTGCGGAATTCTTGGAAGTAATTGGCGATTACGAGGCATGAGATCGTATCGGCTGCGGCACATTTGATAGCGATCTTCAAGTCGTGTTGCCGCCTGGCATCTGTGGGCGCGTTGGCAGCACGCGTTGGTCCTGTCGTAATTTCAGACTGCGGTTTTTTTAGTTGAAATATAAAAACCGGCTGGCATGATCTTTAATCCTGAAATTGATAATTAACCACCGATGGAGAATTTATTTAACAAATTTGGAAACCAGGCGTTTAGAATTTCAAAATGTAGAGCAGGCTATTCTGACATTTTACTTCGTTTAAAATAAATTTTTTGTTGTAAGAATTTTAAAAATTGTAAAGAGTGACTTTTACTCAGTTGAGCCAATCGAAGCATCTGTAGACTGAAACAGTTTTTTTTTTTTGGCTACTAATAAAACTCATGCAATTTATAATTTCAAGACGATGTCTAGGCGCCAAATGAATCAAAGTCGGTTTTTCCTAGTCGAAACCACCCAATATCGGTAGCGCTAATCACATCAAGGGCTCGACAGCAGATAGGCAAACCCAACAGACAATAGGGCCTATATATCTGAGGCCTTGTCATATCATTCCATTCTATCCACCGTATAGTAAAGAAAGGGGCGTGCGGAACTTCTGGTTAGTATCATAGATTTCAATGTATTTGTTATATTTCGATTAAATAAACCGCGTCAATCATAGCTCCAAGCGTCAACAAATTTTATACCAGAACACGTAACCTTAAAGGGGGTGTAGTTTAACGTCGCACATTAAATTGTCAGTCGTCTGAACCACCGGATGTCTACTTTTACTGTATATACATTTTTTTTTATTATATAAGAACACATTTTATAAGAACACTGAGGCTGAAATTGCTTAAAAATTAAGAACAAAATAAGAACAAATTGAGGCTGAGGTAGAATGTCAAACTAGAAAAACCAAAAAATAATATCTGTACCTTATGTGCAGTAGGTGTGACTATGCAATACCCTCTATAATACAGTACAGTTTAGGTGTACCTACCTCCCATTTGGGGCCATTTTTGAACCGGGCCATTTTTTATGGGCCTTTCATTCAGGGGCCATTTTTTGCGGGGCTGCTTTCACCTCCCAGTACAGTGTATACTGCTGTACAATCATAATTTTCTATGTTTGAAAAGTGTGTAAAATAAGAACAAAATAAGAACATTTTGAGCCTGAAATCTGTCAAAAAATTAGAACACTGAGCCTGGGCAAAATTTTACTGGTTCTTATAAAAAAAAAAAGTGTAGTAATACATTTGCTATGTAGGAAAGATTACGTATTAATATAGTGTTGTATTTCACGCATTATTCCAATACACAATGTAAAACCGGGGATTATCTTCCGTCCATCAATCCTAATGGGTCGGGAGCATTGACCCTATTTTCGGGTTTGTGTTAATATAGCCCAAATAATGTAATTGCATTTCTTTCACTTAATTACAGGCCTATATAAGCTACACTGTAAGAACGGTGTTTTGAATTTAACACAGTCTTTCTCCCACCCCACCCCGTATCCCCAACCCACCCCACCCCGTACAGGGAATCAATATCATCATTAGTGTCCCTCTTTCAGTCAGGTCTCTACTTTCGGGGCCCGTTTACACGCCAACTAAATCATGGACACCCTGCATCGAAATTAAAACACCCTCATGAGCAATAGCAAGTATAGGTCAACGACCATGTTACATGTATGATGTTCAATTTGGAAGAAAAAAAAGTTTGTTCGGACGAGAATGTTTAAGAAGGTATTTAGCCTTAAAATAACTTCATACTTCAAAACCAATCAGGGTTTAAGATCTCACAGTGGATAGTACTAATTAGAATCGAAATTTTATTGTATAGTAACGAATCTCCTTTTCGTCTTCCTTTATTTGAAATGTCAACATTATTCGTTGAATCACCGGGAAAGTGTCATTCTTCGCGGCAGTGGTGCTAATAGTATTACGTGAAGACGTTGCCTCTCAGGTATATGGGAGGCAGTGTTTTACAACAGCCTAATTATTCTCTTATCTGTGCTTTGTTTGCCGATGAATAGATGGGCTTAGTTGAGAGCGTGAACAAGTACAGCTAAGGCGTCAATCCCTATAGGCCTACAGAAAAGCGAATGGCAGGTGGCCAAGAGCAGAAAAAAGGCACAGATGGACGCAGTGAAGCAGTCAAGCTAATTAATCATTCATTTATATATAAGAAATCAGGATGTTGCTCGATCGATACCGATTATGCAGATAACTCGAACCCATGGTACTCGGTGTCACCGGGCACCCACAAGATTAGACCATAGAGCAAAGAAACTTTGCTGTATGATTAGACCAACGTGCCAATGTCAGGCATATCGAATTTTTAATCGTACTTGAGTAAATAACATTAGTTGTTGGTCTTTAAAGTATTAACTCGTCTAGACCTATTTTTATTATTATTAGTTCTATACTCATAATTCATTTTCTAGTCCTTAGTTATATTATAATAAGTGACGTCTCTGGCTCCAATATTTATTGTGAAGTCATCATTTAAATGTGTAGTAAATTATGCAGCTCGATATTCCACGTTACCCACACAGGAAATTGCAAAGAACAACTCCCTGCCCAACCCTACAATCCTCCACATCATCATCATTTGGCCAACGAGACGCACAACCAATGGTGGCTCCAGAAATTATCTGACAGGGGTTTTGGGGTCCGAACCGAGGGGCCAAATTAATAGAGCCTCGGTCAGGGTAAAGGAATAAAAATTCCACGTAGGATTCAAGGGGAGATTTTTATGGCTTAGTATGGCCAGTATAACAAATTCCTGATAGGCCTATGGCCCAAAATTGTAGACAAAAAATTAAGGATTTTCAATCAAAATAACATTATTTGGACAGGAAACAATATTTTTAGTCCGACGATATCGTAATGGCATAGGACCCCTGATCGGCGGTGGGTGGGAATCGACAGGGGAGAGGGTTTCCCCCTGGTGGCACCACTGCGCCTATCTATTTGGTATGTAGAGACCATGTGAAACTAACCATTAACAGCAATTAACGAGACGTACAGCTATTACTTTGCTAGTGGTTAATAATCCCATCCCATTTCCGTCTCAAAGCCCTATTCAAATAAAAATTAATGAAAAGTTTCCAATAAGCTCTACTCTACCGTACAGTCCGACTCTCTTATTTAAGATTTTTACCGTATACTAATAATAAAGACAGACGAATAAGATTTTTTTTTCATTTTAATTTGCATTTAGGAACATTCAAGCCTTAACTTTTAATTTTTAGGCCTTCATTAGCAATTTCATTTAAATATTCGTCTGCTGAAAGCTTACTTGATTTAATCAAAAGTTGGCCTAGCAAGGCCAATAATATATTTTTATTAAAATAAAAAGATGCCAATTAAAAATCGGGATTATTGCGGTAGAGTAGGACCTAGGCTTGGATTATGGAAGGCCTATTAACCTAATAAATTAAAAAAATATACATTCTTACCACGGACGTGTAGCTGCCGTAGTCCTCCCCGTCACCACCATCTTCTGGGTAACCATTTTCCTTCAAGTAATCCGTTGGGTTGCCATAGCAATATGACAGAATGCAGACGATGCAAATAGATAAGTAAAACCTCATGCCGCCAGCGAGTTTAATCACAAAAAATTCCTAAGATGCTACAGCACGATAATTATATAATCCTGGTAATGGTCCAAGAAATAAATTCCTGGAGCTCAAGAAACAACGCTATATCGGTTTGAAATATTTAATTATATTAGCTACTCCTAGGCCTACAGAAAATTCATTAGACTGACTGGTCAAAAAACCTGAATTATTTAAACGAACCAATTCAATATTCGTGGAGAAACACTCAATATCAGCTACTCTAGACCAAAATAAATATTCTTTTCACATTTCGCCGAGTCGTATAAGGATGTCCTTGTCCACACGTCCCTCAACATTACTCGCGACTGGTGTTAATTTATACGAAACAACGTTAATTAGTGCTGTCTCAACGCAAGCTAGAAAATCAGAAATGACAACGCTCATTCACCAAGTAGAAGTGTGATGCCCAGTGTCGTAACACACTCAATACACCCGCACAGGACACATGAAATCAAAGTACTGTTACGTAACATACGCTTACGATTCTACGTGCTATTTGTGTTCACTTGTATCACATACAGTACACGTGCGAATTTACGTACGATAAGTTTATATCAAATCCTCCTGTGTGAATCGTTAATAAAACGAGTTTATTGTCCCAACGAAATTATTTCTCTTTTCCAAACTCATAGCCCTCAAAATGACGATAGACGAATGACGTTTTCGATTTGACTGGCGGGCTCTTAAGAATGACTGCTACATCAAAATGAACTTGTACGATTGAGCACAGTGGTTATAAGCTTCCCCAACGACGTAACAACTCCCCTCAATGACAATGAACTCTGTTCTCACAGTTCGGATTTATTTATAAGCCAGAAAGCTGTGATCCCGCGCATGTGGGACATGATGATTGTCTCGCCCTAGTGGGTTCGTACTCGCTACTCGTCCGCAAATGGGACGCTTCGCATCATCTCTACAGTAGAAATTGGGCTATTATTCATACTGGAGGCGAGATCAACAACCGCTGCAGCAGGCTCAAGTTACATGGATTAACCAGTAATCACGTACAGTATTTTAATACCAAATGATGTTTAAAGTCGCTTCCACGAGACTTATCATTTACAGTACTCGCGTGCGCTTAATTAGCAAGCGCGTATACATGTAAATGAGGTCACGTGCTTCGTCACACTGAATCACAATGCGAAGTTACTGCCGACAAAGAAAAGGATAATTTATTTAAATATAATTCAACTGAAAACAAATTTGGTCGAAAGCCGCTTTAATCGCTTTTAAGCTCTTGTACATCGCCCATAGGCTATTTGAGGATATATAACCCAATAGGCGTGGATTTTGAAATCTATAGCCCACTACATTATCCAGGAAAAAGTTTTACTTTGAACATCGGCTCTACATAATGTGGACGTCGCTGCTGTTTCTCAGTTTCTTTGGCTATACTTAATTTGGCAATACAGTATTTATTAAATTTTATATATCAATTACAGTATTGCTATTATAACGAATGTATTTTACTACTAACAGGCTTACTTCTTAGGTAATAGGTCTGTTAATAGGCCTAGATAGAAGCTGACGCGCTTACTCAAGAATCGGGCAGTGAATGAAAAAGAAAAGAGGCTACAAACAATTAGGCATATATTATATAATTATATTTAATATATATATATATTTTATGCTATAAAAATATCGTATCCAAGTACAGTATTCCTCTGTTAAAGATCGGTGATATTAAAGTTCGAGGTTAACTATAAATGGTGGCGCTATTACCATTAATAACTTTCGAAAAAATGCACCGGCAGCAAACTTCAGAAAACATAATTACAAATTTATTTAATTTATGTTTGTATGTTTGTATGTTCATAAGGAATGCCGCCTTAAAGTTCGTGGCAAAAGACAAATTGAAAGCAATATGATAACCGTACTAGCAAAACACTATTGAGAAACAGATACACTTTTGAAGAAAACATAAAAATAACAAGCGAGACATTAATAAACAAAACGAAAATTGAGTCGAAATTTTTCATAATTCAAAGTTATCGGTAAACTAAATAGGCCCTAATATGTTAAGACTTTAACATGGAATTTACAAACCTGAATATTTAAACACACTTACCAGTTTATTTTTGAATTGAGTTGATGACAGATGTAGTCGCGTATATTGGACTAGGTTCAACTCATCTAATAATCATATTTAACTTATCAAGTACAATAAGAATATTAAAAACATAATTTTAGGCCTATTTTTGTGCTAAATAAGAAAAATGTATAGTAATAGTAAGTCACGCATAGTATGGTATGACACACCTTGTACGGTATCTGATTTAAAAAGGCATTCCCGATTCCCTACTCAAGTGCAAAGTACGTACCTTTACCTTTATTTAACTACCGGTACCAATAGGCCGATTTCATTTTTTACTACGTTTCCCATGCCCTTCAACTGAACCTACTTCAATGACGTCATATGAAAGACTCCTCCGCCAATAAAATCTCGTATCTTTACCCGTTTGTCATTAGCCAATCCTAATAATTTTTATCCGTTTTTGTCAGTTAATTTTTCGTCATGTTTGAAAAGTCCTCTCAGGTCCCCAACTACGAATCTCAGACGCCAAGGCTGTTATATGCACTGTCTATATTTTTCTCATTATTCTCGTCTTCCGAGCCAAGCGACAGTCGGACTAGATGGTGTTAAAAACCGCCCGGAGGCTGTATACCTTTTTCTGGCAATGTAAAGCCTTATGTTGATTCTTACAAGTACAGTATTTGGTATTGTAGATTCTGTACTATTACAAAAAGAATTCTCCCAAAAGGTTATGAAAACACTTAGTAGCGTGTAAACAAGCGTAGCAAACAATAAAATGGCATTGACGGTAAGAGGTTGGTTTGTTTGAAAGAGGATGAAATCTTGCGAAGGAGGTGATTCCAGACATTTAGGCCCCAATCGTTAGTTTGTCAACCGAATACTCCGGTTTGACACCTAACAATGATTATGAATTCAACTCCAGCACAAACGAGTCGTTTTACTTTGCTAAGAGCTCTATTCAAGACTTGACTCCAAGATTTATTTGCGTTTTAATAGTTACAAGTACCATAGTTACTTTTCAATACGAGTAGTATTAGACACACACATTCCACAGGGAGATAAAAATATTGGGAGGTTCATGTAATGTCAGGCCCACTATGTCATAGTCAATGCTCTATAAGGTCCGAAATGTTGGTGTTTCTGTTGTTTCTGGGCTCATTGGCAGTGACTTCGTTTAGAGTAAGCTGTATGAAAATTTTATATTGAACCTGGCTAATAAATATTTATGAATGTTTGACGACAAAAGAGACATGAATAGAGTAAGTTTGCATATAAATAACACTAACGTCACTGATACCCAACCGCATGAACAAACAACAGTGGCAACTGTTAAATAACTAGCCAAATTCAGGGCGGTTGCTCTATTAAAGCGACATTTACATCTTTTCATAGTACAGGTTTCCTTTAATTAGCATACACAAACATGCCACTGTCACTTTTAATATCAATATTCCTTACAATTGATATATTGATTGATTGATTATATTCGGTTTCAACATTAAAATAGTAAAATATAGATGAAAAAAACCCCACAAAACAAAAAAACAAAGAACATTAAAACATGAAACCAGAAACTTATTTCCAATTGGGTCCAATACAAAAACATGACATGACATAATATAAATATGGTTACATTGTTACAATAGAAGTTGCTTTTTCATCACTTTTTTCATTTTTCTTTTACGTTACAATACATATAAAAATGATTTGCAAAACAATAAAACATTCTAAAACCTTCAGGAGAAACCAGAATACCGGCAACAATGAAAAGAGAGCATATA